ATTATAACCCTAAACACGCGCGACAATTTTGGAGTTTTCGTATAGTGGTAGGGTCGCTTGACATGATATCTAGCCACTCATGTTCAAAACTTGCTGGCCACAAGTTTCTAAGCGGATTTAAGAGAAAAAGACACCACTCCATTAATCTAGGATTTAGCCCATGAAAATGCCCACAAATTTGGAGTTTTGGTGTAGTGACAGAGTCCTATGACAAAGTTTATTAAACTAACTTTCAAATCATTTCTCATATGGGATCAATAATGAAAAATGCCTAATACAATTGTTTATTTCATGTTATGTAATGTAACAAACTATAAATATCACATATATTTGATATAACTTAAACATGTTGTAATTCTATGCTAGCAGACACTAATTCTATAGATAAAATAGACCATTTCAACGTAACATGTGTTATTTCAATATGCCGTAAGCATCTAAAAAACTTTTAGTAGTGAGAGTATCACCTTTATTTGTTTTGTTTAAGACTTAGAAGTAGTGTAAGTATATATTTACGGGTTATTTGTTATAAGCCTTGATGGCTTCTTTCATTTCCGCATTTCAAGTTTGAGGACATCATTATGCTTGTGATAATTAACATATTATTGGTGAAGAATGAAGTAACTGTGATTATCTGTGACAATATATTGAACATTTTATTGTTCTACTCATTGGTAAATTAATATAGATTGTAATCTTTATTAAAAATCAATTTTATATTTTAAAATCATATTCCTATTGATTAAAACCATTATGGATATTCGTGTATTTGTTTTCAATTAAAAAAACAATATCTATATGTGCTTTAAGTTATAGAGAGGTCAAGTGGTCAAGCATTATGATATGTACATGTGTTATAGTTATTTTCAAAATTGTGTAGGATTATTCTCGCATATTGGCATTCACCCCATAATGGCTTTGCCAAACATCCCTGGAATCTTTACCATCCAGGGACTAAGCATACTATATATAGTCATTTCTCCTCGCTCCTCAGACACAATCAAGACTTTGATATCACTTTTTAAAGGGAACTCTAAGCCTCTTCTGGAGTCGGATAGACTGAAATAGTTACTCTTCTCATTCTGTCTAATATGATACAAACCCAGACATTAATCTTATAAAACAGGCACTACTCAGAAAAGGAGCTTTTGGATCGCTTGTTAAAAACATTGCTGGGCAATATATGACGTACGTATATGAAAACAATTGTCTTCTCATAAAGCAGGATACCTCAAGGATTTTAAACAGGTGAATACGTGCAAAAAATGTGAGACCCCCAATTTAGTCCTACCCCAATTTAGTCCTAGCTACATCAAGGAAAAGTGTGAAAAGTTGTGTGGCTTACACTAGTAGAAAAACGAGCAACCTAGACGGAAATTTCCGTCTAGGTTGCTCCAAATCCCGTCTATGTTAGTTCAACTAGACGGAATTCCGTCTAGTTTGGTCCGTTTATTTTGCTTCCGTCTATATTGACTCAAACTAGACGGAATTCCGTCTAGGTTGATCAACCTAGACGGAAGTCAACCTAGACGGAAGTAAGAATCCCGTCTAGGTTGAGAGGGAATTCCGTCTAGGTTGATATTTTTTCGGCAAAAAAAAATAATTACAATTTGTATTTTCCTGTACAATTACATTAATATATGAATATATCTAATAAATATTGTACACATGAATACATCCAACCATCCAAATATAATCAAAATTCATAACAATTCCATTCAAAACCAAATATAATCAAATCCAACATAATACACAAATCCAACCATCCACTCCAAAATATACATCAACCAAATCCGTCCAATATATACATCCAACAGCATATATACTAACAATGTACATGAATAAGATAGGATAAATGACATGAATAAATATAGTGTTATAACAAATAAAACTGTTTATTGCATTAAAAACAAAAAAACCTCATCTATCGTTATCATCGGCAATATCTCTATCCCGGTTACGAGAACGG